TGAGCAGTATATGCCTTTACCCACTGAGCCATCTCTCTGGCCCAGGACCTTTCTTCTTAGCTTTGTAGGCGTGGTAGTGCACACCTTTAATCTCAGCACTTGGGAGGCAAGAGGCAAGAGGCAAGAGGACCTCCAAGCCAGCTTAGTCTACATAGTGAGTTCCAAGACATTCAGGGCTACATAGAGACGCTCTCAAAAAAAAAAAAAAAAAAAAAAAAAAAAAAAACCTTTAAAAAATATTTATTTTTATGTGTATGGGAACTGGCATTACAGGCAGTTGTGAGCTGCCATGTGGGTCCTGGGAATTGAACCCAGGTCCTCTGGAAGAACAGCCAGTGCTCTTAACTGCTGAGCCATCTCTCTAGCCCCTTAATGTTTATGTTATGCATATGGGTATTTTGCCTGCTGTATATCTCTGTATTCTGTGCATGTGGTACATTCAGATGTCAGAAGAGGACATCAGAACCCTTGAAATGTTAGTTACAAATGGTGAGCAGCCGTGTGGGTGCTGAGAATCAACCTCATCCTCTGTACTTCATCTTTGCAAAGAATCAAAAAACTCAGGTCCCCTGGGAGAGCAGCCAGTGCTCGTAACTGCTGAGCCAGCCGTCTGGCCCCTTGCAGAGTGTTTCATGCAATTAATGTTTTAAAAAACAGTTTGAAAAGTGCTGATCTATTTCAGTCCCACACATACAAGGGAATAGACCAGGGAAGATATGTGGTCACTTGGGGCCACACAACAGACTCAGATTAGGACCCTGAAATTGGAGTGTTTGACACCCCACACTTCAGTGGGGCTCTGTAAAATGTGAGGACTAGATAGAAAAGACAGCATTTAATAAAGTTATATGGAAATTTTTTGTTTCTTACTCAACAACTTGGTACTAGCTTATCTTCCATACTTATGTACAATATTTTGTTTTGTTTTGTTTTTCAAGACAGAGTTTCTCTGTGTAGCCCTGACTGTCCTGGAATTAGCTTTGTAGACTAGGCTGGCCTTGAACTCCCAGAGATCCACCTGCCTCTGCCTTCCAAGTGCTGGGATTAAAGGCATGTGTCACTATTGCCAGACTAACAACAGTATTTTTTTGAGACTGTATTTTATTTTTAAAGTTACATTTATTTATTTCATGTGTGCATATATGTGTGGATGTGCATGGGCCACACATTCATGACTATGAAAAGTCGGGGACAACTCAGCTCAAAGGCAGACAGGGACAGGGCTTGGCTCTGTGGGACTGAAAGCTTTCTTGGTCTTATTTCCATTCTTGATTTTTTTTGCCTGCGTCTATTTGAAGTTATGACACAGCAGACCTGCTCATTTAAAGTCACTGAGCTTTGTGCTCTGAAGAGGAGCATGTTGTTACAAAAGACTGGTCTTTCTTCCTTTTCTTTTTAAAACCAGGCCAGGATTAATTTTAAGGTTAAAAAAAAGATGTGGCAGATAAAAGAGCAGCTTGAAATCAGGGCTCTTCTTGTGTTACTCTGAGCCCAGCATCCTCTTTTATTAAACCCGAGTGTGTCTGCGGGCTGTTTTGTGTGCGCACTGCTGTCATCTCTAATGTGCCAGAAGAAGCCTTTCCCACCGTGGGATTCAATACCAGGCCGCAAAGAGGTTGTCTCGGATTTCTTGAATCTGGGTAATTAGCTGAGGTCCAGTGGCTCAGTTAAGTCATCTGAAGGTCAATAATGCATGGATTCTTGGCTGATTGCCTAGCTCCGTTTCCTCCATAAGCACAGCTGTGTAGAGCCTGAATGCTCTCAAAGGAGGCTTGCATTTTTTAACATGAAATATTAGGATTGGTGTTACATAGATTTTAATGCTATGACAAGTTCTTATATGTATGAAACAAAAGTTTGACATGAGTGCTTTCCAAAATCTCCAGAATCCTTTCTTCTGCTTATTTGCTAGCACAGTCATTTGAACCGCAAAAATCAAGTTGGGATAATTCAGATTAAAACATAACAAGTTGGGCACTGGTGGCCCATCTGTGTAGTCCCAGCACTCCAGAGACAGAGGCAGGAAGAAGAGTGCAAGTTTGGGCTTTCTCTTAAGGCCTTTGATTCATTTTGAGTTAATTAAAAAAATTATTTATTTCATACACATGAGGGCTTTGCTTGAATGTACCTATATACACCTTGTGTATGCCAGAAGAGAGTGTCAGAACCCCTGGGACTGGAATAATAGATGATTGTGAGCCACCATGAGGGTACTGGGAATTGAACCTGGGTCCTCTGGAACAGCAGCAAGTGCTCTTCTAAACTGCTAAGCCATCTCTCCAGCCCCTTGAGTTAATTTTTAAAAATTATTTTAGTTATACATATTTTTGTGTGTGTTGCATGTAGATTATATGCACTTGACTATAGATGCCTTGGGAGGTTAAAAGAGGGTATTGGATCCCTTGGAGCTTGTGTTGTAGAAAGTTGTGAGCTACCGTTTGGGTGTTAGGTCCTCCTCAAGAGCAGCAGTAAGCACTCTTAACTGCAGAGCCAGCTCTCCAGCCCCTAGGTTTTTTGTTGTTTTGGTTTGGTTTGGTTTTGGCTTTTTGGAGACATGATTTCTCTGTGTAACAGTCCTGGCTGTCCTGGAACTTTGTAGACCAGACTGGCCTTGAACTCAGTGATCTGCCTGCCTTACCTCTTAAATGACTGCTGCCTAGAGAGGTCAGAAGGGGGAGTCTGATCCCCTGGAGCTGGAGTTACACGTGGTTGTGAGCCTTCATGTGGATGTGGGAGTGGGTCCTTAACCACTGAGCCTTGTCTCCAGACTCTGAATCTTAGGCTCTTTAAACATTACTTTTATGATGAGGTCATGGGAATGTTGCTGAGGACTGTCTATAAGTTCTTGTATTTTTCCTGATGACTTCCACCTGAGGTTTATGGGGGTGGGGCTTGTTCTCCCCAAAAAAACCTCTGTTTTTCCTCTTTGGTGACATTTTATCTTGCATTGGATTGTTTTTTGTTTGTTTTGTTTTGTTGTTGCTTAGTTTTTTGAGATGTATTTTATGAGTGTTTTGCCTGCATGTCTATGTATGTGCACTCTGTAAGTGTCTAGAACCCACAGAAGTCAGAAGGCATTAGATCCCCAAGCCCTAGTCTTTTGCAAGAGTAACAAGCACCAGTCTGGAGAGATGGCTCAGAGGTTAAGAGCCCTGGCAGTTATTCCAGAGGTTCTGAGTTCAATTCCCAGCACCCACATGGTGGCTCACAATCATCTGTTATTGCAGTCCCAGGGGTGCTGACACCCTCTTCTGGCATAAGCAACACCCTCATGTAATGAAATTTGGTGCCCTCTTCTGGCATGCAGGTAGAACACTGTATACGTTATAAATCTTAACAATAAAAGAGTGACAAGTTCTACCACTCCAGCTCTTTGTGCTGGCTTGTTAAGCTGCTGTCACCCACAAGAGCAAGTTGTACTCTCAGGGGGCAGGGACTAATTGCCTTAGTTTAAAATAGTGGTCCTTAGCCTTCCTAATGCTGCCACCCAAGCAAGGCTGTTTTTTTGTTTTGTTTGTTTTTTGTGTTTTTTTTTTCCCCCTGAGACAGGATTTCTGTGTAGCTTTTGGAGCCTCTCCTGGAACTTTTCCTAGAGATCAGGCTGGCCTTGAAATCACAGAGATCTGCCTTATTCTGCTTCCTGAGTGCTGGTATTAAAAGTGTGTGCCACCACCACCTATCCTGTTCTTAAAGGTATTTCTTCAGTAGGAGTTGTTTTGAAGCTGTGAAATCTGATTGCATCTGCAAGTGTGATCTTCTGCATAGAAAGCTCACTTTGCATTGCAGAAGCCAAAAGAATGCAATAGTAAGTGAAGCCTTCCCAACTTCTGTCACAAAAGTCCCAAAATTGGGGCTCACTTAACTTTCCTGCACACAGAAAGCTTGATGTATGCACCTGCAGCAAGTATCTCCAGCATCTTTCGTATAGAGGCATGGGGATTTGGGGTATTTTTGTTTGTTTTGTTTTGTTTTTGAGACAGGGTTTCTCTGTGGCTTTGGAGGCTGTCCTGGAACCAGCTCTTGTAGACCAGGCTGGTCTCAAACTTACAGAGATCCGCCTGCCTCTGCCTCCCAAGTGCTGGGATTAAAGGCATGTGCTACCAACACCTGGCTAGAGGCATGTAGATTTTAAAGAAGTTACTTTTAGCTAGTGGTAGTTGTTTTCATTATTTTACTTTAAAAAAGGTCTCATGTGGCCAACCCTTATCTGAAACTCACTATGTAGCCAAAGATGACCTGGAATTTATGATCGTTCTGCCTCCATCCCCAACTTGTTGGATCATAGATGGTAAATTAGTTTGTTCTTAGTATGTTTTGAGGTACCTCAAGATGAACCCAAGGCCTACCTAAGAAGATGAACACACTAGGCAAGTGCATACTACTGAGATACATCCACTTCTGTTTTTGAGATTAAGTCTTAAGTAGCCCAGGCTGGCCTCAAACTCTCTATAGCCAAAGGTGACTTTGAACTTCTGATTCTCCACCCTCCAAGTCTCAAGTGCTAGGATTACAGGCATGTACCACCAGGCTCTTTATGCCATGTTGAGGTTGAACCCAGAGTCTTGTATGCTAGGCAAGCCCTTTACAAACTGAGTTCCATCCCTAATCTACTTATGGTTATCTTCGGTGCACCAAACTCCATATACACTAGTTATTCACTGGCTGATACCTTGTTTGTAAACTGTCGTAACAAGTGTGGTTTATCTATAGCTGGGCTGCAAATGGAGTTGTACTTGTACCATGGCTTCCCAGCTGATATGGAAGCATGCTTTTAAAAATGTGACCTGTTGGATAGCTTGTCTGACCTCCTGCAACAGCACATCATAGAGAGACCATGATGTAAACCTTTGTCTTCTACAATTTCTACCATCACATGTGCTATCTTAGCAGAATCTGGGCAGGTTCATCATCTAGTCAGTCTTTTAAACTGTTCTCCGATCACTAATTCCGAATGGTTCATAGCAGATTTATCATGTATGCTGTTTTGACCTCCAATTCAGGTGATGTCTTCCCAGTGCAAATGAGTCCCATAGCCCAGTGTCAGTTTGTGCCCTTGGCTGAAGTTGTTTGCTGCACTATAGCTGATATGAATGCGGCTCAGGTGGCTGTGACACAAGAGTCACTCTTGGAGCACTTGATGAAACACTACCCAGGTAACCAGTCTTCACCACTGGGATTCATTCAAATGCATTTAGTTTCTACTTATAAACACTCTTAGCATAGAAGTAAAGGGTACGGTGCCCTTCTTCCCTCCTTTTTCTATACAATCTTTTGTTATAACACTGAGTCACCCAGCTCAGTGGCACAGGGATGCAGTCTCAGCTGTTTGCTGGGCTGAGGCAGGATTGACAGTTCAAGGCAGCTTAATAAGACCCTGTCTCAAAATGAAAAGTAAAAAGAGGGCTGGGGATACAGCTCACTGTTGGAATGTTTACCTAGCATACACAGAGCCCTGTTCTCCATTGCCAGTATAGAAAAAAAATACTGTCAAGACTGGCATCAACACTGGGGTGTGTGTGTGTGTGTGTGTGTGTGTGAGAGAGAGAGAGAGAGAGAGAGAGAGAGAGAGAGAGATGCATGCCACAGTATACATGTGGAGGTCAGAGGATGACTTGCAGAAAGAGTCAGACTCTCACCACATGGGTCCCAGGGATCAAACTGAAGTTCAGCAGGTGTCTTCTGAACTGTCTCATCAGCCCAGCTTCAACAATTCATACAGATATTTCTTTGGTTTTCTGGATGATTTTTTTTATACATAAATACATGTTAATCAGATTCTGTAGTGAAGGATGGAAAGGAAAATTCATCTTCTCCATGTCCCATTTTCCCATGTCTGTTTCCCAGAGATGGAACTGGCAGAATTTGTAGCTCTTAGTTGTGCCTTCACAAACTGCATTTTAATGTGTATGTTACCCTTTATGACATAAGTGTGATCACTCTGTACATCCTCTATATAATGCTCATGAGACTTATTTTAAATTCCCATATTTGTTCAGACTTTCCCAAGGTATAGTTGTATTTATTTATTTATTTATTTATTTATTTATTTATTTATTTATCAGTCCTGGGGCTTCATGCCTGCGAGGCAATTGCTTTCCTACTGAGTCCTCAAGTTTTAAGATGATTTTTATTGTGATATTCAGAGTTTTGTTTTTTGTACTTAACCATTAACATAGGCATATGTCTGTATGGGAACCAACTTATAGAGTACTTTGTAGTTTAATTACACATATTATTCTTTGGGTTGTTTTGTTTAGTTTAAGTTAGAGTCTCACTGTATCTTACACTGGCCTAGTTCTCAACATATAGCACAGGGTGGCCTTGAAAATGCACTGATTCTCCTGTGTCTGCCTCCTAGTGCTGAAATTACAGTTAGAGACACTACACTCAGTTCTAATTTAGAAGATGCATGTGTGTGTGTGTGTGTGTGTGTGTGTGAGTGTGAGTGTGAGTGTGTGCATGCATGCACACTGGGCATACACATACAAGCATGTATATGTCACAGCCCATATGTGGAGGCCAGAGGAAAACTCTGGGGAATTGTTCTGTCCTTCCATTTTGTAGAATCAAAGATCAAGCTCAAGTTGTCAGGTCTGCATACAATCACCATTATCCATTTAGCTATCTGACCAGGTAGCATTTTATTCGAATGTATTACATATAGTCTACTCCAAGTCTGTTAAGCAAATAAATAGTTATCCTGAATTCTGATTTCATTTTTTTTCTTTTGTTTTTTAAGGTATTGCGGTTCCATCCCCAGACATTCTCTACAGCACACTGGGGATTCTAATTCAGGAGAGAAAGATCTACCACACTGGAGAGGGTTACTTCATAGTTACACCAAACACTTACTTCATCACAAATACATCCATACAGGGAAATAAGAGCGCCCTCCTGTCAGATGAAGGGTGCTCCGTGCCCACTTCTGTGACCTATCTGGTGAGCGTGGACTGCTGTGCAGAGCTGGCCCAGGAGAATGAGGACCCTGTTTCCCACTGTCCATCCTGTCGGTGTTTCCTTGACACAAGCATGCGGGACACTAAAGACCCACTGGCTATTGCAGAAGTGACTAGAAAAAAACAGGAAGGTCTTGAACCCACACTTTTGAATAGGAGCCAGGTAGTTTCAGCACCTGAAGACACCCACATCTGTGTGAGCCCCAAACCATTACCATACACCAAAGACAAAGGCAAAAAGTTTGGTTTTGGTTTCTTATGGCGCAGCTTATCTAGAAAAGAGAAGATAAAAAGAGAGTATCACAGTTTCTCTGCACAGTTCCCACCTGAAGAGTGGCCCGTCCGAGATGAAGATGGCTCCAACAATATCCCCCGAGATGTGGAACATGCAATAATCAAAAGAATTAACCCTGTGCTGACTGTTGACAACTTAATCAAACACACAGTCCTAATGCAAAAATATGGAGAACAGAAAAACTATAATAGCCAGGGCACTTCCACTGATATACAGACAACCAGGCATAAGTGTTCTTCTAAAGAGGGAATTCGAAAAAGGCAGAGCCGGTGTGCCAAGCCTCACAGGCGGGGCTGTTCTCATCCGGTTAGATACAAAGCATGGAGCCTGGGTAGTGAGCTTGAGCCAGGAAGTGTTGGACTGGAAAAGCAACCTAAGATCCCTGCAGCCCAGCCTGCTCCCATAATGAGGAGCCCTAATGAAGAAATTCAGGAGCTGCATGGTGGGAACCCAGTTGTGCTAGATTCCCACTTGATTTATAAAAAACAGATCAGCAATCCTTTCCAGCACATGCATCTCCGAGGACACCCAGTATCCAAAGGGCACAATGTCCAGAAGAGCCAGGCTCTGAAACCTAATCTGGTTGGGCCAGAGGAAAAGCCTTTCCGAAGGGTGGGGTCTTCTGGTCCTTCAGGCGCCTTTGATGGTGGAGCACAAGAGACATATTCGGAACAGTGCCATGAAGAAAGGGAAGAAGGACCCATGCATGCAATGAAGGCTCCTGTCCATCCTGTCAGTGACATTAGAGGTGGCTTAGGAAATTACCTTCCACATAGTGTTTTACCAAGCCACCCTCAGTATTGTTCCTTCAGGGAAAGTGTGTTGAGAAGTGCTGTGTATAATGAAGAAAGCAAGGTCATCCCTGAAGTCTTGAGAAAAAGTTATTCTGACTGTGACATGTTCTTGGGGACCAAAGAAATGCATCAGGTCTTGCCCTCACAAACTTCCTCCTCTTTGGAGCCAATATCTTGTGTGTATACATCAGTGGATAAGATGGTATACCAATTCCAAAGCCTGGGCCTCTCACGTTGTCCAGCTGGGGCAAACCATTTGAGGATACACGAAAGGCAAGGTGGTGACTCCGAAGAACTAACTCAGAAGGTGTTTGTCCCAGAGGCACAGATTGTGAATATGGAAAATGAGGGGCTTTCTGACAGTGAGCATGTCGAGGCAGCCTTGAACCAAAGTGACACCTGGGTGGATGATGGGGCCTGCAGTTCCCTGTGTTTGGAGGATGACGACTTCTCTGAGACAGATGATGACTCCTGTCACACACTGCCTGGGTACACTCAATGTTCCTTTGCAGGTAGAGGCAGGCAGAATCATTTGGGAAGACCAATGGTGACTGGAAGATCTCTGACTGAATGTAATAGCAAAACGGATAAGTTTGAGCCCCTGGCAAATCACTGGTACAAGGCCACTGGGTTGTTTGAAAATTCAGGGGAAGGCCCAAACCCTGATCTTGATGACAGCCCTGGCTTAAATTCAGGGACTGTATTTGGTTTCAACTACGAAGCAGAGCCTACTGCCTGTGTCCATGCTCCAGCAGCTGCTGACAGAACTTTACTTAAATGCTCTACTGCAAGGGAAAACAGTTGCAGGGCTGAGATCCTGCAAGATTCTTCTGGTGACACAGGAAAGAATCCAACTGGCTGGAGACAGAGCCTTGAAAATCAGGAAATGGAAAAGCATTTCACAGACCAATTGCAACTTTTCAGCGCCTCACATGTGCCAGTGTTGGCTCAGGATCCACAGCGAGAGCACAGTGGCCTGGAAGGGACAGAAAGCTATAGCATGACAGGAGATAGTGGGATCGATTCCCCGAGGTAAGAGTGCATATGGGTGTTGCATTAGTTACTCCTGTAGGAGTTACTAGAGTCAGGGTGTGTGGGGCTGCCTAGTGAAAGACTCCTGAACAAACCAGTGTAATAATGTCAACAGCCTTGGGGCAATAAATTATATCAAGTTACTTGCCTATGGTAGGACAGAGCTCACTTTTTTGTTTGTTTTTTGAGACAGGGTTTCTCTGTGTTAACAGCCCTAGTTGTCCTGGAACTAGCTCTGTAGGCCAGGCTGGACTCAGAGATCTGCCTGCCTCTGCATTCCGAGTGCTAGGATTAAGTAAGCTTATACCACCATCACTTTTGAAAACTAATATCTTTAGAATTTCAGATGCTATATATTTTTTCAGGATTTATTTTTATGTGTAACAGTATTTTGCCTGTTTTTTTTTTTCTTTTGTGCATGTATCATGTGCACCCCTGGTACCCACTGGGACCAGAGGTGTGGATGGTTGTGAGTCACCAATGCAGGTGCTGGGAGCTGAATCCAGGTCCTCTGCAAGAGCAGCCAGTGCTCTTAACTGCTGAGCCTCCTCTCCAGCCTCATACCAAGCGTTTATCATATTCACCCTCTTACCTAGTTCCTCCCATATGTACTCTCTCCTCCCTACCCACCCAACTTAAGTTTTCTTCTTTTTTTTAATCCCCATCAAGTTAGTGTTGTTCAACTATTCTTGGGAGTGGGGCCTGACCTAGAGAATGGTTGACACAGTTTAAAAAAAAAAAAAAAAAAAAAAAAAACTGACTCAATAGAATTAGTGGGGATCAAGTTTTACTGGGAATTATTTCTAAAACTAGAAAGACATGGCTAAAATCAAAGTACTTTCAGAAGTTGGAGGTTTTCTCATGTATTTCTGGATCTACATCTGTTAAGCAGAGGATGCGGCCACTTCTCACTCAACTTGTTTAAATGACAATTATTCATATGATAAACATAATATGGATTTAATCTGATATTTTAGAAGTGTTTGGGGTTGTAGCCCAGCTGGTAGAGTGTTTGCATGGCAAGGGTAAAGCCCTGGGTTTGATCCCAACATTGCATAGATGGGATGTGATGGCATTAACTCTTATCCCAACATGTGAGAGGTGGAAACAGGAGTTCAAGATCATCCTTGGCTACACAGCATGTTCAAAGCCAGCCTAGGTTCAGGCCCCACCCACCCACTCACCCACACAAAACTAAGTATAAAAAGTTTAAAATAGCATTGTGTGTGTGTGTGTGTGTGTGTGTGTGTGTGTGTGTATGCTACAACAGACTGTGGAGGGTAGAGGCCAACTTGAAGGGGCTGGTTCTCTCTCCTTCTACTGTGTAGGTCCTGGGGATAGAACTTATTACTACTGGCAGCAGGCAATTTTACCATCCTCCCCAAAGTATTTTTAAAACTTTGTAATGATTCTACTATTTTCTTGCTTGCTTTCTTTCTTCCTTTCTTCCTCCCTTCCTCCCTCCCTCCCTTCCTTCTTTCCTTTATTTTTTCTTCCTTTCTTTGCTTTTTCAAGACAGGGTTTCTCTGTGTAGCCCTGGCTGTCCTGGAACTTACTCTACAGACCAGGCTGGCCTCAAACTCAGAGATCTGCCTGCTTCTGCCTCCTGAGTACTGGAATTAAAGGCGTGTGCCACCACACTCAGCACAAATACAAGTATTTTAATGATAACACTGGGGGCTGGAGAAATGGCACAGTTAATTATGTATGGGTACTTTGCCTGCATGTGTGTCTGTGCACCACATGTATGCCTGGTGCCCACAGAGGCCAGAAGATGTAACATGAGTTCTAATTGGTCTTAATAATAAAAGCCTGGAGTCAGATATAGGGGAAAATGCTGGGAGATCAGAGAGAAGGAGGAAACCAAAACTGCCTTTATTTCACTAGCTTCCCATAGGAAAAGAGAGCGAGCAAGTTCCTGTTCCCTCCCACCTATATTCCTTTCTCCGCCCAGCCATCTCACTTCCTGTCTGTACACATCTCCAGACCTCTATGGTTAGCTAGTGGCAATCTCTACCCTCTGATCTTCATACACGCCTTATTTGTGCAAACAAGATATCACCATAAGAAGAGAGCTGTTGTATATGGGTGCTGGGACCAAACCCAGGTCCTCTGCAAGAGGAGCCAGTGGTTTTGTTAGCTTTTGTTTTATGCTGTTTTTGAGACAGTATTTCTCTGCGTAACAGCCCTGACTGTCCTGGAACTCACTCTGTAGACCAGGCTGGTTTCAAACTTGGGAGATCCACCTGCCTCTGCTGGGACTAAAAGCTTGTGCTGCCACCACCCAGCTGGAGCCAGAGTTTTTAACAGTTAAACAGCTGTCCCATCAGTTTTCAGCATGTGGGCAGAAACCACTTTGGGAGTCACCTGACCCTTTCACAGGGTTCACCTAAGACCATTGGAAAACACAGATATTTACATTATGATTCATAACAGGAGCAAGATTACAGTTAGGAAGTAGCAATGAAAATAATTTTATGGCTGGGGCCACCACAACATGAGGAAGTGTATTAAGGGGTCACAGCATTAGCAAGGATGTGAACCACTGCTCTAGCCAATCCCATAAAGAAGTTATTTTTAAAAATATTTTACGTGATGTGTTTGTATGTTGTCCTTCTGTGTATACACACCGTGTTCAAAAGGAAACAAGCTCTCTTCCATCTTGAGGAAGACTCTCCCTTGTTTCTGCTCCTGCACGTTTTCAGAAGCTTCTTACCACTTCTGCCCCACTTCCCATCTCACCCTAGGACTGTCGGGACTCCTGACTTTATAGCTGAGAGCTGTGGCTGGGGCTCAGGGGTTCAAAACAGGGTTTCTCTGTGTAGCCCTGGCTGTCCTGGTCTCACTCTGTAGACCAGGCTGGCCTTAAACTCACAAAGATCTGCCTGCCTCTGCCTCCCAGGTTCTGGATTAAAGGCCTACACCTTGGGCTTTCTTATGTGGGTTTTTTTTTTTTTATATCAAACTAGGATCATTAGACCTGCATGGCACACTTTTAAATTCTTAGCTATTGGAGATGGCTCAGTGGTTAAGAGCACTCGCTGTTCTTCCAGAAGTCCTGAGTTCAATTCCAAGCAAGCATACGGTGACTCACAGACCATCTGTAATGAGATCTGGTCCTTTCTTCTGGCCTGCAGGCATACATGCAGACAGAAAACTGTATACATAATAAATAAATAGATCTTTTAAAAAATGCTTAACTGTCTTGCTGGTCCAACTTCTTTGTTTTTTGTTTGGTTTGTTTTTAGAGACAGGTTTCTCTGTATTACTTTGGAACCTGTCCTGGAACTAGCTCTATAGACCAGGCTGCCCTCGAATTCACAAAGATCTATCCACCTCTGCCTCCTGAGTGCTGGGATTAATGGTGTGCACCACCAACTTCTTGTTTCATATATTTTTAATTTTGTATATTATTGTGTGTGTGTTTTTGTGGGTGTATACACATGAGTGCAGTACCCTTAGATACCAGAGGTCTCAGAGCCACTGGAGCTGAAGTTACATGTGTTTGTGAGCAGCCTGACATGGGTGCTGGGAATTGAATTCAGGTCCTCTGCAAGAGCAGAGAGCCATTTTTCCATTCCCAAGTTTACTGTTTAAAATTAATTATAATATGGTTTTCTTGTGAGGCTTATTATTATTATGGGTACTGTGGCTCTTAGGATCAAGGCTAGATGGACAACACATAGTTGGTACCTATTTGAAAATTAACACAGACAAGCTGAACTGGAGAACACACACAGATTCTTCACAACTACCAGAGATACGTGGGATTTAGGGTGATAGGAGATACTCAAGGGTAGAGTATTTGCCTAACATGCACGAGGCCTGGAGTTCAACCCCTAGTCACCACAAAACAACCACTGAATTACTGGGCAGCTGCAGGTACATCTTGGCAATAGGGTATGGTACAAACTTAACAAATGTGCTGAAGGAAAACAAATGTGACTAGATAAGGACATGGCTCACAGTTCCCAGGACAAGAACAGTATCAGTATGAAAACTTTTTCTTTCCTGTGACTTCACAAAAGATGTCAGACAAGATATGGATACTAATTCTGCTAGGCAGCTAGATGTTTCTGGTTAGCAGGTACTAGGTTTGACTCTTGACACTAGGTTTAAGAACTGATGTTCAGAAAACACAAAATTCTTTGAAAGCACCTGTCAGATAATTGGGGTGCTATTGTGTAGCTTTTCACATGTGAAAAATGGGTTAGGTTTTTGAAAGGTTACCTTTGATTTGTTAAGTATGTCTCAGTGCTCATGTAGCTTCAAACTAACAAAATGAAATTATAGTGCTTTGAATGGCATTCTGGGTACCTTTGGAAGACAGTAATCCTGTCCTTTTTTTAATCTTTAGGATACAGTGCCTGGCATCTAATAATTCTGCCATTTTGGATGGATTTAAAAGAAGACAGAATTTTCTGCAGAACTGTGAAGGCGTGAAGAGCCAAATGCTCCCATCCAGTTCCCTGCTGCAATTAACCCCTGTTATAAATGTCTAACTTAAAGATGAGGTCTTACACTGTAGTTCAGGCTGGCCTGGATCTCAATGGGTAATCCGCCTACCTTAGCCTTTGGAGTGCTGGGATTACAGGCATAAAGCACCATGTCAGGATTAAAATCTTAGCTAACTTTGGAGAACTCTCTTTACAACTGGGGTATGTAAAGATCCTCTAAAGCTGAACACCTATGTTATTATAACCCCACGATATTTCAAACTAATTATTTCTTCCTTTTTACCACTTTAAAGTAGTTTTCAGTACCTTTTACTAGAAATTTGTTATAGTTTTCAATAAAAGAAGCATAAAATCGTTGGTCCCTTTCTAACTGGCACTAACTTTAATTTTCCTTGATCAGTTTCTCCATATGTGTAATGCTGACTTACTTCCCAGTAGCCATTCTCACCAGCCACAGGAATATGGACTTCTCAGGTTAAAGAGACATGGTGGCTGAGAAGTAACTCATCCCTGATGGCGGTGTGGTCAGATATATCCCAGTTGTACAAGTGGCAGACCTTGTGCTCATGAGGCCCTTCCTCCACCCCATCCATTTTTTCAGCCAATAATGTCACATCCATTCCAAAAAGGAAAATAAAATCAAACAAGGCAAAAAATTCCTCCAAATGAAAAGTGGGCAGATGTCTTAATTTTTGTGTCTATAGTAGTAAGTCATTCTGTTTAATTTGTAGAGAACTTGCCATGTTTTCAAAGACTTAAAAGGCATCCTGCAAAAAATGTGCTCCGAATTGGATGTGTTTCAAGGATTGCACTGAAGAAAAAACATGATGGAAATTTTATATATATATATATATGTATATGTATATTTTTTAAAAGTAAACTCAGATTCTGTGGTAAAAGCTGGTTATATAGTAGCATATTTAATAGCAATAAAATATTTACCAATGGTGAGTTTGTTAATCCATGTATAGAGAGTAGTATATGGGCAGGGCTGGGGAGGATATTTCTAAAATCAGCGTGTCTACTGGACTACAGCCAAGTGAATTGGGGAAATGGGAAATGAAAATGGAAGGAGGAGGTGAGGATGTAGCTCAAATGGAAGATTTCTTGCCTAGCATGCTGGAGGTGGGTGTGGCAACTCATGCCTGTAGTCCTAGCACTCGAGAAGTTGGAACTGGAGGCCTAGAAGTTCAAGGTCATCCTTTGCCATGCCAAGTTTGAGGCCAGCCTGGATTAAAGGTTCTATCTCAAAAGGAAGGACAGACTGAAAACTTATAGAACTGTCACAGTTTCTGCTAAGCTTTGGCTGTGGACATTCACAATGGTGCCGCAAATACACCTCAACTCCCTTTTTCTTAGTGGTGCGGACGACAGATGTCACTGTTGAAAGAAATATCTTCTTTAGTGCCATTAACACACACTAAGTAGTTTCTTTTTCCATTGTCAACATATCTGGATGGTGCCCTGTGATGCTAGATGAAGAGAGGAACTTAAAAAATAGAATATTATGGAATTACCACCCCAAACTCACCCTTAATGAGGTATCATTGCATAGTACATCAAGGACTTTTGAAAAATTGTTAAATGCATCAAGTCTGTCACCAAGATTGCATTTCCTAAGGGCCAAAGGAGTAAATCACCCCCAATTCCTGAAATTTCTTTAGTGTTGATGTTGACTTCATCAACATCATTTGCTTTTGGAATGTAAGATGGCTAAGCTGAAGCCAGATGTTGAAAAGGCTGTGTGATATTTTGACGTTAAGTGGTTTATAAAAAAGCAGTGGGCCAGTGAAATGTCTCAAAGGGTAAAGTCTCTTGCTGCCAAGCTTGACCACCTTGAGTTCAATTGCTGGGATCCACATAGTGGAAGGAGAGAACTGACTACCAAATATTGTCCTCTGACCATACAAACACACACTAGTAAATGCAGTGTCAAATGTTTCTTTTGTTTTATATTATTCTTTTATAGTAAAACACATTGTTGTGGAATATTGTTTTTAAGGTGTGTTACTTTTGTTTATACTGTGGAACATTTGTTTAATGATGTAAAGATATGTTGCTTTTGTTTATGCTGTATTTGTTTAAGTCATGAAACTGTGATTCTTTGCCTGTCTAAAACACCTGATGGTCTGATAAGGAGCTGAATGACCAATAGTGAGGCAGGAGAAAGGAAGGATAGGCGGCAGGGCTGGCAGGCAGAGAGAGAAATCTGGACGAAGAGGAGGAACAAGATAAAACAAGGAGAAGAGGACGTTAGGGGCCAGCCATCTACCCTGCCAGCCATGGAGTAAGACTGAGAGATACACAGAAGTAAGAAAAGGAAAGAGCCCAGAGGCAAAAAATAGATAGGCTGATCAGGTTTAAAAAAAGCTGTCTAGAAACAAGGCAAGCTAAGGCCCAGTGTTTATTTATTAGTAATAACAGGTCTCTCCGTGTGTGGTTTGTTTGGGAGCTGGGTGGCAGGCCCCCAGAAGAGTAAATAGTAAAAAAACAAAAACAAAAAACACCAACACATTTTTAAAAGTCAACAAAGGTTCAGCAAAAACTTGTTGAGTTAAGGATCCTAAGCCTGATGACCTGAGTTCAGTCCTCAGGACTCATGGTAGAAGGAAAGAACTGGCTTTGGAAAGCTGTCCTCTGACCGATACACATAAAGCTAACCACAATAAAGTCAATCCTTTTTAAAATCCAAGTTTTATTGCTTATATATTATTGTCTTTATTAGTGATCGTAAACTTATGACCTGTTTTTAAGACTCTCTGAATGGGTCACTAGGCATTGCAGAGTTGTCCTGCCATGTCCAAGCCCACACCTGTGGCAGGCACATATAGATTTTCATCACATGAGCATGTGTGTGTGAGTATACACACACACACACACACACACACACACACACAAGCTTTTTAGATTTATGTGTATGAGTGTTTTTCACACAGTTATGTGCTTATCATTCACAGGCCTGTTGTCCTTAGAGTTCACAAGAGGGTGGTTGTCAGATCCTTTAGGACTGGAGTCACAGAGAGCTGTGAGTCCACATGTGAGTGCTGGGAATTGATCCCTGGTCTTCTGCAAGAACATGAGAACATGTAAACTTTTTGTTTGAGACAGAGTTTCTCTCTGTAACAGCCTTGGCTGTCCTGAAACTCATTCTGTAAACCAGGCTGGCCTCGAACTCACAGAGATCTGCTTGCCTCTGCCTCCCAAGTGCTGGGATTAAAGATGTGTGCAACCACCTCCACCCAGCAAGGACAATTTTAACAGCTAAGCCATTTCTCCAGTTGTCCTGCATCCCAGTCCCCAATGCCCCACCCCACCATGTCTCTTGGTTTTGTTTGTTTGTTTGTTTTTAAATAAATTTTATTGATAGTGGTCGAAACTTCAGCACCTCAGTAATAGATTCCCATGCTGGTGTACTGTTTAATTACATGTGTATGTTCTTAGATCATGAACCTATTGCAGAGTGTAACTTAGCAAATATGATACTGGGAAATGTCTGCTTTGGCATGGGAAACAATGGTAAGAGCGTACTGCTGCATTTTGAGAACCCATCTGAAACTACAGCTACTTGAGAAAACGGCACAGGAAAGAGGCTGTTGTCCACCAGGGGTGAGGGAGCTATTAAACAAGAACGAGGACACCCTGAACAGACCAGAAGTCAGCTTCTCTCCTGATGCCTTCTTACTGGCTTCTTAGCAGTTTCCACCTAGTTACTGGTTGACAGCACCCTCTTCTGGTGTTGACTCTAACTTCCTCCTACAGCACAATTCAAAACCCAGGCAAAGCAGTGCTTTGAGGAAGCTCTGTGATAAAAAACCTGTACAGCTCCTGCAGAGGTCTGCAGTATGCTTTCCAGGGGGGAACTGATGGCCTCTTCTGGCCACCCCGGGCATTCATACACATACATCCATACACATACAGACACATAATTAAAAATACATTCTTTTTAACTCACAAAACTGTTACTAAAGAAATGGTGGAGCCAGGCATGGTGGCACATAATTTTAATTCTAGCAGAGAAGGCAAGAGGCAGGCAGATAGAAGGTGTAAGGCAAACTTCAGCTACATAGTGAGTTCAAGGCCAGCCTGGGCAACTTGTTTCAAAAAGCCAAGGCCAAAGCAGCAGCCATCTCAGTTAAGTGTGAGCGCCTCTGCCCCTCATTTCTCATATTTTGTTGCATTTACTAATCTAGCTTACTTGGCTAACAACAGCTTTTAAAGGTAAATTGGCTGAGGTTGTATAGCTTCTTGCTCTTCACTCTCCTTTTTCCTTCGCATCCTCAGCAATCTGTTCCTACTGTCTCCATCAGTTCATGGCTGCCCCATCGTTTCCATATTGTAGCCTGAAATGTTCTATTTTGTCAGAAAAATTTCACATTCACATTCAGTGCTAGATGTAGTTTGATAGCTCTTTTCAGTCTCTAATTATGGAAACCATTTTGGAAACGACCAGAGAGGCAAGTTTAGAAATAGTACCTTTTTTTTTTTTTTTTTTTTTTTTTTTTATCTTAAAAGTCACACAGTTGAATAAGCTAAGGCCAAACAAAGGCAAGGGGATTTTTATAGAACCTTTCGTAAGAGAATAGCCAAAAAAAAAAAAAGAGCACAACACTTATCTTTTCAGGGTGCATCAACTCTCTTAGGATATTTGGAAAATAGGGTCAGCAAGATGGTTCCATTGGTAAAGGCTTCTACCATGGAGCCTGGCAATCTGAGTTTGATCCCCAGGACACACATTATGGAAAGAGAACTTCTACACACAAAAGAAAATGAAAACAAAACAAAAAACTAGAGCAAGGCATTGTACCATAGGCCTTTCTTTGATCCTAGCACTGGGGAGGCAGAAGCAGGCAGATCTTTGTTAGTTTCAAGCCAGCTTGGTCCACATAACAGGTTCCAGATCCTTTAGGGTTACTTGATAAAACAAATGAATATCTAAAACAAATTAATACAAATATATAGACTATAAAGATTAATAAAGTTATATTTGGAACTAGAAACCATGATCCAAGACTTTAGTTCCAGGCAGGAGGCAGTGGAACAAGATAATCACTTGGGCCCATGAATTGATTATATTTTGAATCGATGTCCATGATGGTTTATATTGATGGTCAACTTGACAGGATCTAGAATCACTTAGAGGAAATCTGCTGAGCATGTCTATGAGGGTGTTTATTGGTTAACTGAAGTGAGCAGACACACCAGTTAGGTGAGTACTGTCATCTTTCTACGTATTGTGGATGAA